GCATTTGCTAAGCTATATTGAACCTTGATCAAACGTCTCCTTTTCACATCTGCTGTTAATGATCTATCTCCATCTCTTGCTGTTTGGCACTAAAAAAGATGCCAGGATCCAAAACACGATTGCAGATATCTGGCCTCATTTCTCTAAGCCACGTTACCCAACTTCAGCATTGCCTTCCTAAGAAGGAGTATTTGCAGGCAGCTGTTTTTAGTATTAAGTCTGGGTCGGGCTTGACCCTGACACCTAACCTGGATTCTTCAGTCTTGAACCTTAAAAGCCTGCTTTGGCCTGTCTTGAGCTTGTATTCTGATATTAAAGGACTCAAAATTGAGAGAGAGAGAGGTTACTCAAAAGTGTTGTGCTAACGCACGCAGGAGGATTAATTCAATGGGCCGCTGGTGCATGGCCATGCTGGGCTGTCTTCTGAGGGCCCGTAGGCCTCCCCACGCTCAGCCAGAAGTTTGCGGATGAAGGTGCACCGTGTTGTGCAAGGCATTTGGAGGGCTGACATGGGTCTGTTGGCCTAGGAAGTGGAAGAGCTGATGCCCTGTGATCTCAATGGCCTCTCTGGGGCTTGTCTTCACGAAGCACTTCCCACATGAAGCCACGCTCTGCCATTGCCAGCAGAGAATTTCAGCAGCAAGCGCAGATGCTCCCTCTACGGCAGCAAGAAATGAGCACCAATTTTAATTATGCCCCAAGAATAGACTTGGAAATTAGTTAAGTCAGACACCACTAGGAGATCTCACATCTCAATGGCCTCTCTGGGGCTTGTCTTCACGAAGCACTTCCCACATGAAGCCACGCTCTGCCATTGCCAGCAGAGAATTTCAGCAGCAAGCGCAGATGCTCCCTCTACGGCAGCAAGAAATGAGCACCAATTTTAATTATGCCCCAAGAATAGACTTGGAAATTAGTTAAGTCAGACACCACTAGGAGATCTCACAGGGCACACACCCAGTGTCATTATATTGCAACAGCATGTTCAGATGGCACTACCTCTCCAGAGTATGTGCTTGTGTGTTGGCATCCGTGGGTTTCAACTCTGGCACAGCTGGGAAAGGGCCAGGAAAGAGGGGCCCCAAAGTGGAGACCGAGGGCTGAGGCTGAGGGTGGAGAGGACTGTTCGTGGTGACTGAGGGGCAGCAGCAGAGCTGTGTGTGGGGAGCCCAGGGCTGGGATCGCAGGAGCTGGGGGAGAGGCGGGAGGAGCACTGGCAGGGCTGGGGGGTATGTGGCAGAGGGCGAGAGGGGTCTGTGGCTTGAAGTGACATGACACACGAGCTGCCAAAGATGGGCTGGGGGTTTGGCAGGAGCTTGGATGGATGGATACGTTGGCCTCAACCCACGAGTGACACACAGCACGGGAAATTGCACGTCTAAAGGCACCACCCAATGAATGCTTGTGGAGAAAGCGGACGTTTGCTGTTAAATAGTTGTCAGTTTGTATGCCATCTGGCTAGAGTTGTTGCTGGGCTTTTGAAACCATAGTAAAGTAATCCAGTGGGCAAGTCTCAAGATGCCAGTATAAAAGGGATTGTGTATAACATGGGCCCGTGCCCCACAGCTGTGATGTGTTCAACACAATTTGAGCAATGTATGCTCAAGTGCATGTGCTCACGACTGCACATGCAACTGGGGGCAAGGGTTTGTGCAGGTATTTGGGGAAGATAGTGTGTGTGCGCGTCTGTGTCCGTACGTGCAACAGCGTGGTTTGCAGCTCAGAATATCCTAGAAAAGTATCTTGGAACAAGCTTGGATATTTTCAGCTTGAATAAGTGTGTGCGCATGCGTGTGCCCGGCCCTTGGTTGGAGGGAAGGGGCACTGCTTTGGGTGTGGGTGTGTGTCTCTGTCTGTGCTCGCGTATCGCTGCTGCTCGCTTGTGGAGGGAATGAGAAGGGTGAGGAAAGAATCGTGAGCCATGCATCCCCGCCTCCTCCCAGGTCAACTCAGAGGCCGTTTTAGCTTTGATTACTTCTTTATTGTAGCCAGGGACAGACATTTCGCTTTGCCTCAAACACCAGCGTCCAGTCCAGCCAGCTTCCCTCATCTCTCTGTTCCCCAGCAAGGCACGTCTCCTTCCAGTGCTGCACTCCCCAAGGCTCACACTTAAACAGACAAGGGCGAACGCAGCACACATCCCTGGGGTAATGGATAACCAGCAGTGCACTCCTCTGCGATTAAAAGGTATGCAAGAGCATAGAGCCCCGAACAGGGACCAGGCATGGACCTGCTTGCATTGAATCAGAGGCTCGCAGAGGCAGGGGAAACTCTCTGCTCAAGCTCCTCCTGGATCGTAGGAGGTCAGTGTCTGAGACACCCAAGGCAAGGGGCTGCTGTACTGTGCAATGGAAGTGAAGGGGCACGAGACGGGGAGAACAGGGAAAGGCAGCTCTACTGTATCCTGGGCAAAGGGGGCCGCAGGGTGGGAACGGGCAGCAATGCAGAATTACGGTTATGGAAAGCGACTGGGACATTTCAGTGGAGGGGCCCCAGGTCCAGGAGACCCAGGAGCAGGTCAGGAAGAGCCAGAAGCACCCCCTCCCCTACGCACTCGGATGCGGGTTTCGTCCAAATGCACCGGGAAACCTTCCTCATCACAGCCGATGACGATATCCCTGTAGCTGCGGGTGGCCCGATACCTGCAGTTCTGAAGGGACTTGTTTCCGTGAGCCTTGCAGGTGGTGATCTGGAAGCTCCTCCGGCTTTTGTGCAAGCCTCCACCGATGTCCTCCTCAGCACACACAGCCCTGATATCATTTGTGTTCTCATGGATGAAGGTGTTTGTCGTCTTGCAGATTATCGGTCCTTCTCTGTTGTTCTCCCTGTGGTCCCTCCTCAGCATGTAGCGCATTCGGTCATTGCAGTACTTGTCATCCCGGCCACTCGGATTGGCATCAACGTGTTGGAGAAGAAACCTTTCGTACTGCTCTTGGTTGGCTGACACAACCAGCAACAGGGCCGAGCCTGCCAGAGCCCACAGCACAACCAGGGTCCCTGTCTGCATCATGGCTGGGAACAGATGATCCTAGGCATGCAGAGACACAGCGTTAATGAGAGAGGCAGGCAGCTCAACCAGCTATCTCTGTTCTGTTCCTGTCTGTGCTCCTCTATTCCTTGCTTTACTCTGGGGTGTCTGAGGAACACCAGCAAGTATTGATGCCATTGCCTAAAGTGATTGTAAAAAGTGTTGGAGGAGGAAGTCCTGGCACCAACTTCACGTGTGCCCGCTCTATCATCCCCCATTAAGTCATTCCCGTGCTCCAACGCACCCAATCACCACAGCCCCCAAGTGCCTTTAGCATCCTTACCTCCACTTGTGTCCCCCCCCCGCCACCAAGACCTCTACTTCCACTCCATCTGCAGCGAATGCAGCCTCCCTAGTCCTGTATAAAGATGGGGAATAGTATCAAATGGGTTAGCAACAGATGCCACTTCCATGAATCCACCCCAATGCCACCATTCAAAACCTCCTACTTAGCACTGCTCTCGCTCCCTGCTTGTGTCTCTGGTGTCGGATGTACAGAGTCGATCAGCTGCAAGATGTGCGGTGGGCTTTGCAAACTCTTTTGGATCAGGGTGCCTGGCTCTCTTAAACTGAACTGCTGGACATTTGACTCAAGAACCTAGCCCCGAGCATGAGTGAGGTTAAGCAGAAGCTAAGGTGTCTCAATGTGGATCCAGAGGCACGCGCCTGAGCCCTGGACCCAGGCCACAAAGGCCGTCCCCAGCTGACTCAGTTCTCTATGGACACTGGTCATTAAGGCCAGGGAAGCCAAAGTCATCAGGGTAGACAGAAGGCACTTCACTACCTTGAGTGATATTGGCCACAGAAATAAGCCTGCCTGATACACTCCAGTGCCTTGGGCCTGCTGGGATTGGGCCAACTTCTGACCTTGTAGCTGTAACACCGATGGCCTTGGGGCCCAGGTATTTCTCCACTGGCTTTAATACCGCTAGTAGTGCCCTCGCTTCAGCCTTCCCCAGCACAGGGGATCAGGCCTCACCCTCTGCTAATCATGTCCTCTCCACCCAGCCTGTTTGGGTATTTCAGGATTTGGTTGCCCCACAACGGGAAGCTTCCTTAGGTGGAAAATGAGTGGAAAAA